CGCCGAGCCGACCCCGGCCGCAGGCCGCGAGCGCGGAGCCCGCGCCCAGCGGGGGATGGCCGGGAGCAGGAACATGGGTTTAAAATCTCGGCCTTTAACAAACGCTGGCGTCCAGTCTGAAGGGAGGAACAGGGATGGGTGTTGCCTGGGACCCGCGCAGCCCGAGCTCTCCGCGCGCCCGAGGTCGGAACGGGCTCTGACATTCTGGTGCAGATGGGATCAGAGCCCGATTCTGGCACCGATCACTTCCAGGTGGATCGTCAGGGTGCGTGTGCAGCCGGCCTGTGAGGGGCAGCCCGGCTTGATGAGTGAGCTCGGAGTCAGTGCTCAACTGCCAACGGTGCTCTCAAGGCCTTGACTTTTAAATGAGTTAAAGCCCAAGATCAGTCTATTTTCTATCTTTTTGATAAGATGATCAACATGGAGAATTAGGAGCTGTTCCACTTAAGAAGCTGAGACCTCAACTTTTCAGTTTTCTCAAATGTTTTACATGTTCTGGTTACACATTTAATGTGACGAGAGCAATACCAAATGCCAGACAGTCACATGAAGGAAACTAGTCTTGTGAGCACGGCCCTTGGCGAGTGTCCTTGATAGGGGCTCCCATTCCCCAGGCCCGTCAGAGTTCAAATCTAAACTGCCGACTGACTGGTGGTGAAGAGGGCTCATGTCTTACGATTACTTTGAGTCATTTCCTTTCCTTTCCTTCCATTTTCTCAGCCGCCAGCAGTCTTCAGTTTTGGGTTGATGGTTGATAGAGTGAGAACGTCCTGCTCACTTAGGAGTTTGTGTAAGCTTTTGTGAAGAACTCCAACCTATTCAGTGGGGAAATCCAGCTTTCGGACTGCATTATCAGATATGCTAGTCTCTAATTCCATGTTAAGAGTCACAGTAAAACTTCATGAATTTCAAAGCATAATGGACAGTTAATTCTTAAGTGTGTAGATATGTGGAAGATTCATATGTAATGTGTGAACTAACAAGATTTGTGGAGACATACAGAGCAAAACAAGGTAAACAGGCCACAAGTGTGACTGCCAGCTTTATTTTCATGCAGTTTGTACGAGGTTGTTAAACGTATATCTGCTGAAGTGTGAGGAACCAAATGAATACCAAGTCAGACTTGCAGAATGAGTCAGGCATTAGAGACCCTGTGGGTAAGTTAGGAGTGACTCCAGCCTAACATCCGTTGGGATGTCCTCTCATAGTAATCAGGACTTTACAAGGTCCACTCAGAGAGCAGAATGTGCACTAATTAGTTACTTCCTTTTTAAAAAATAGTTTCGACCATTCAATGTAAAACACGTGAAAGTAGGTGGAATTAGTCTTAACTAACAAGTGCTGGTGAGAGGGCTGAAAACACTAATAAAATGTTCGCTGTATGAGCTCTAGGATTCTCTTCAGATAAGAGCATGTATATTTTATTTTATTTTATTTTATTTTATTTATTTATTTATTTATTTTGGTTTTTCTCCGGTACTGGGAACTGAACTCACGACCTTGCGCTTGCCAGGCAGGCGCTTTGCCGCTGAGCTAAATCCCCAGCCCAAGAGCATGTATAAACTGATGTGCTAAGCTGATGCCGGAGTATGTGATTCATTATTTTGCCTCCATTTTTGTAAGCCTGGGGACCAAACCCCAGGGGTGCTGTACCACTGAATTGTATCCTCAGTTCTTTATTTTTTGAGACAGGTTCTTGCTAAGTTGCCATGTGGAACTTGACGTATGGTCCTTCTGCTTTAGCCTCCACCCCCCAACCCCCACCCCACCCCATCCCCGGTACCGGGAATCGAACTCACGACCCACGACCTCGGGCTTGCCAGGCAGACGCTGTGCCGCTGAACTAAATCCCCAGCCCCAAATTTTTTTCTCTAGCAATTCAAGAGTTATTCTATGGTCTTTGGTAAACTTGTTCTTTTTTTTTTTTTGTGGCGTCGGGAAATGAACTAACGACCTTGTGCTTGCTAAGCGGGTACTTGTACCACTGAGCTACATCCCCAGCCCTGCTTCAGCCTCTTTCAGTGTTGAAATTACAGATGTGTGACATGGAACTCTGTTTGCCCTGTCCTTTTAAAAATTTATTTATTAAAAAAAATAAAAATTTATTTATTTATTCAGTCTTTTTGAGACGGAGTCTTGCTGTGCAGTTCCGCCTGGCCTTGAGCTCACTTTGTAGCCCAGGCTGGTCTCGAACTCACAGCGATCCTCCTGCCTCAACCTCCCTAGTGCTGGGATTACAGGTGTGCGCCACCACACGGGGCACCCTGGCCTTTTTAATCTAGCAGATAAAACCTTTTTAAGTAAATGTTTCAGTAATTAATTAGGACAGAATGGGATTTTTCTTTTTCTTTTTTCTTGTGCTGGGGATTGAACCAGGGCCTCAACCATGCCAGGCAAGTGCTCTGAACTACATCCCCAGCCCTGAAGGTATTAGTCAACTCAGTCTTTGGTGAGATTGAGGGGAAAAAAAAAAGAGAGAGAGAAAGTACAGTTATCCCTTGTCAGACACAAAAGAGAATTCTCTTTTTGAGCCATTGAAAGGACAACAGAATATTTGTTATAGCCAACTTTAAAAGTTTAGATGAAAAAGATAAATTAGTAGAGGGAAAATTAGTCTCTGTGGGGTTAAATATGAGAATAGAGGGCTGAGGGTGTAGCTCAGTGGTAGAGCTAGCATGTGCAAGGCACTGGGTTCACTTTCTAGCACTATAGATGAACAACCAATAGAACAGAGAGAGGGAAAGGGGATTGAATCAGTAACTGAACATTTTCCACAAAGAAGACTCCCAAATCAGTGGTTCTCTGCTGGGTTGGTTAGTTTGTTTTTTTTTTTGTTTGTTTGTTTTGTTTTGTTTTCTTCCAGTACCAGGAATCGAACTCACAATCTTGCACTTGCCAGGCAGGCACTTTGCTGCTGAGCTAAATCCCCAGCCCCTTCTCTGCTGGGTTATAAGAGACATTTAAAGAAGAAATAATTCCAGTCATACACAAACTGTGCCAGAACAGAGGAAAGGGTTAACTCATTTTATGAGGCTAACATAATTTCAAGCATTAAGGATAGTTTCCAATGGTGACAAACCTATGGTACATATTCTGTGACTGGCTGCTTGTTATCATTGAAAGCTTTAGAAGGTTTGCCATCACTGGTATAAACTCTCCCTCATGAACATTGTCTTGTGACTTGCTCCATTACTTCTTCATTCATTGAAGTCAGTCTGCTCGAAAGCTCCTCCAAAAGCTTTTCCTCAGCCGGGTCTGGTAGTGCAAGCTGCAGTGAAGCAGGAGGATCCCAAGTTTGAGTCCAGCTTGGGCAAGGTGGTGAAACCCTAAAATAAGAAAAAAGAAAGGGTTGGGGATGCAGCTCAGTGCAAAGGTACTGAGTTCAACTTCCTAGTGCTATCAGAGGAAATGAAAAATAAAAAAAGTGAAGGGAGAAATCCTGTAGTATAGTATTTTGTTTAGAGAACTGCTTGTGTGTATAGTATGTGGACTGCTTTGAGTAAGCATCTTAGTAGCCTGGCCTCCTCTTTGCCTAACTGCGGTAAATATGTCCTTGTTCCCCAAATCTGTAGCATCCTGTTTTGACTCCAGGCTGTGGTGTGGGACACTAGCTGTTGGGTATAGACCACTGCTCGTCCTCTCTGAGCTTTTTAATGGCCACATGTGACCTTTCTCCCCTTTGGATGAGCTCATTGAAGGACTCTCATCATCTTGGGCAGCCTGGCCTCTGCTGATGTTTTCTCATGGCAGGCATCAGTAAATGCTGAATAATTGGGCATATGGCTTAAGGGTAAACAGCCCATTTTAATGCCAGCATCTGAGCTGTTTGCCTTTCTGTTTTATAAGTCATGTTGGAACAGAAGGGGAAGACACCAGGTATGGACAAGAAGGGGCAGCCGGGGGTGGTGATGCACCCCTGTAATCCTAGCACTGGGGAGGCTGAGGCAGGAGGATTGTTGCGAGTTTGAGACCAGCCTGGGCTACAAAGTGAGCTCAAGGCCAGCCAGAACTGCATAGCAAGACACTGTCTCAAAAAGACCAGGGGAAAAAAAAAAAGGGGACTGGGCTAAGGTCGCTGCTTGAGCCAAGAAGTCATCATCAGGTTTGCCAGGCAGGATGGTTTCCTTACCTCATCATGCTTGCTCAAATGTTAAGTAGAAATTAGCTATAAAACATTGCGAGCATACAGGTGCAACAGATAATAGAGTAGATCTATACCTATCACTAATAAGAAATTTCTGCTGAACCTTTCAGATTTCTTTGTATCATTGGAGAAGGTAAAAAGAGCATCAGATACACAAAATACAGAAACAAGAGGGGAGACTGAGGTCCCAGAGGGATTAGACTTGTATTTACAGACTATCTGTGTAAGATTTGTTAGTTTCTCTTTTTGATAATGGTTACTTACAGTGAACATTGTGGAGAGGAAAAGACAATCTGGGTTATCCAGGGGCTCTCCAGTGTTTTGTGCTTGTGTGTTGGCTGCAATGTAGCTTTTACTTATTTTATTTTTAAATTTTTTTTGTTTTTGCAGTATAGCTTTTAAAGAGCTGATTGACTTGATGAAGTTTGTTGTTAAAAACAATTATAGCAGAGCTCAAGTTAGTTTTTTCTTTTTTGAGTTTGCCTTTCTAAGACCAAATGACCATTAATGAGTTTTCAGAGCATCATAACTTCTGTAACATTTAGTAGTTTCAATGAAACACACAAGGAGAGAGCTCACAGTGTTAGTGAATCTAAATGACATCCTACAGTTCAGATCCCCTGTAGTGATACTCCCTAGCGGGTGTGTAGGTAAACAGTGCATCTTTTCTTTCTGGAAGGAGTTGGGACTTAACTTTTTAAGTTGACTAGGTTGGGCTGGGATATAGCTCAGTGGCATAGGCACCTACCTGCCAAGCGCAAGGTCATGAGTTCGATCCCTGGTACTGTGAAAAAAAAAAAAGGTTGACAGGGGTTGGCATTGAAAGAGTTGATATGATGGAATTTGTTATGTTGTTAGAGGGCCTATATATATTAGCAGTATTTTCATGTTTTCTCCCGTTTCTGCTGCTATCTGTGGAGGTGGACGACTAAGAAGCATGTTTCTGACTGCCTTGAGTCTTTCTAAAATATGGATGTGATTCCATAAGTCCCCACCCTTTAGAACATGGTTCAAGACCCATCTCTTGCTGGGCTTTCTGGCTACATTTCTTATTTCACTCTTTACTGACCCTTTTAGTCTGTCTCTGCATGCTCTCCGCTACCTCTGCATAGCTTTTGTGC